CCGGTTTTCATCAGGAACTCCCCCATGCTGAAGTGCTCTGTCGCACAGATGTGCATATAGGTGACTGGAGGCGCAGCGCGCAGACAACTGGCACCCACAGCCGCGATACCGGTCGAACTATCCTCCGCTCTACGGGGAACAAGACGCAGGTCCGCGGCTCTGACTTCAGTCATTAAGCTCTTCAGTCGGGTCAAATTCTCTAGGAACGATTTACCACCGTCCTCCGCGGCCCGAGGTGGACAGCGGAAGGTAACCATCGCCTGGCGGGCGATTCTTTGGACCAGGGAGCTCATGTCGGCACCGCCGCAGATCATGGCGGAGCCACACTCTGAGTCCAAGTCCACGTCTAGTCTGCTGTTAGCTTAGCATCAAAGAAGGACAGACGACAGATGACTCACTACTGCATCATCTGACAATCTACTTCCGCCTTTAATATCAGTTGAGTTTGTTTTATTATTGTTAAAAACGACAAACAGTCGCTCACCTTAACCCCGGAGAGGAAGGTAAAAACACAGTTTTGACGTCGTGCTCCAAGAATTACGTGTGTAAATCATGTCAGATAAGTCTGAGTCAGAGGTTTATTACTGCAGGGAAGGCAAAGGTGACGCCGCTCTGTGCCGGATAATCCAACACAAACGTCTCTCTGTTTGTAGAAAATTGTTTGGTGAGCAGAGACACAAACAAAGTGAGAACTCCTGTCTTCTTTTTTCTGCTCCTTCTCTCTAAATATCAAAATATCATTCGTATTATTCACCAACCTACGTGAATTTTAAGACTGGGTTAATTTTGGGGGCGAATACGTGAAGGACTATAAACAAACAATGAATGACCGGAAATATGTGCTGGTGAGCGTCACATGTCGATGCCCCATTTCTGACCTGCTGTCAAACACGTCTGCACCGCTGAATTCTCGCCCCCGACGCAGTCTGGGAAATGCAGTTTACTGCCCCCTACTGGTGTGTAAATTTTCAATGTTTTAATTGAAGTTACTAGATAGATAGATAGATGCAAACATTAGTTATTTACAACACACAAAACAACTGCTAGCCAGTGAAAAATAGTTGAATATTAAATAAATAGGAATTAAATTAATAGGAATATTAATTAATTTATGATTACCATTAGGTGTTTCTTACCCTTATGTAGATAATATTGCTGAAAAATAAGTAAACATTCCAATGATGACAGCTTTGTTTAAAGGATAAGATAAAAACCAATGTGTCAACAAACCTCAGTGTCAAAGCAGACTGTACTGGATCCATCTGTGTCAACAGCCACAGATCAAACCATCAACACCAGTTGTTGCCAAAAGATCATTTAAAATAATAATAAGGTCAGTTTCTGTGCAATGACCTGATGGAAAAGCCAACTAGTTTTCTTGGACTATCATTTTTTTCTCTTTATATATATATATATTTATTTTTTCTGCTCTTAAAAACAGGCCTGTAGTGATATGAGGTGGTCTGCGTGCAGTTCACACACTGGACACACTCCTGCTGCTCTGTACACACTGTTAGTGTGTGCTGTCTCCAAACTTTGTTTGTTTAATTTGGATGACACTGTGTCCCCACAGTTTGGCCCCTTGTCAGTTTTTGGAACTGTTGGTGTTCTGAATCACAGCGTCTATTTTTGTTCCACTCTTCACTTCCTGTCCATCAAAGGCGAACATGTTGTTTGGACAGAACCAGTATGATGTCACACACCTTGAGTGTGTGGAGTAATTTATACTGTGCTCCATGTCACGCTGTGAGTGGGCGGGTGAGGAAAAGGGGGGTTTGGCTGGGAGAAAGTGAAGAGGCGAGTGGCGTGGGATCCTGTGTTTTTGAAGATATCCGTCACACTTTCACTCACAGTGATGTCATCATCTGCCTGGTGGTGGGAGAAGGAATCAAAGTCTTGAGTTAAAACCAGGCAGCAGATGTCAAAGACCCGACACATCCTGGTCCAGAACCAAGTTCATTCAAGTTGAAATAACAACATCAGTATATTGGATGGTTTCTCTGTTTAACTAGGCCTGAAAATGGTCATTTAAACCACATATGGCATGTTCAGCCTCTGTTTACCAGACCTGGACCAAGGTGATGATAGTATGTTGGCAAAGAGATGTCTTACAGTACAACTACAAAACTGACCTCCAGTAACATTTAAAAATATCAGTAATAAATGATAATTTAAAAAACAAAACAAAAAACCCCCACTTTTTTCAGAAAGATGCTCCAGTTGTTATGTGTCTGGATTTCTAAGGCCCTAATCTCAGATCTGGGTTTGAGGATGTTCTCCTCTGAGGTTTGCGTGCCGTCGGTCCTCAGACTCTTCAAGTCAAGTGGATCCAAATGTGTTTTGCCACAGAAATAAAATCCACTGGGCTTAGACAGGAAGCTGTGAGTGGGAGCACAAATGTTTTCTCTCCTGTACCAAACTCCACAGAGAAAATCTATGATTCTCAAAGCAGACAATGTAGAAGTTTTGACGCCACTACTTTCACTTATAACATAAGTTCAATTGTGACTTTGTGTTCAATTTCTTTGTAATTTATATCACGGATCAAACAAACAAAGACATTTTTAGAATTTTTAACATTTTCTAAATTTCTGAAATACATTTCAGAAATGTAAAAAAAAGTATTTCGTGCCCATGTTTAGACCAGTTGTTTTTGTTTCTCTGACTTTTATTTGCTTATCTGTGTCACAGCAGCTCAGCTGTTCATGTGTGTTTTCTTTCGCTGACTGTGTGTAGATGTTTTGCTCTGATATGTCCAGAAAACGTTGCAGTGATAAAGTCTATGGTGCTGCGTGAGGACCATGGTGCACTCAGACCCCGCTGTGACGTCAAATCCTGGCGTTATCACGTGAAAAAATCACCAGCAGTGTATACAAACGCACCGTGAGGCACTGACAGAGCAACACGTTTACCACACACTGACACACAAACACAGAGCACAGAAACACCAGAGAGTACGAAAAGTTCTGTTGTCGAGGCTTCAAGCTGAATGACGCGAGATTAAATGCTAATTACTTGGGGGGCTTTTTGTCTTTTTCTCCTGTTTAAATCTTCAAGTGATGTTTTAAGTACTACTTTTTCTGTCAATAATTTTACTTCATGACTTCAAACTTAGGTAATAAGTTAATACAATAATATTCCAATTAATGTACATTCATTAATTCAATATATTTAAATTTACAACTATAATAAACAATTCCGTAATAGTATTATTGTATATGTAACAACAGTGCCGCCACGTGGTCTCTGTCAAAGCTGCAATCTGCAGACACGCCCACGTCTCCAAATCTGTTTTTGTAGAACCTTACACAACTTCCAAACCCTTATCACCACATTTGTTTTTTAAATAAAATTAATGAGGCAGAGGAAGGTGGTTTGTAGTTTGTTTTTATTTTTTTTAAATGGGAAATGAAGGAAAGAAATCCACACTTTTCTTTTAACAGATGACAAAATTTCAGAATGAAGGCACAATACTGAGTTTCACTAATCCTTAAACCTAGAACTCCACTGTTGACTTTAATTATATCCAAACACCTTAGTCTCTGTGTTTTTTTTCTTTTTTCACCGTTAGAAAGCCATATTTTTCCAGTTTTCAAGACCCTCTGATTGTCAAGCTCAAAACCACACTCGTCAAAGTGCTTTCTGTTAAATTCTGTTAAAACATTCTCACAAAAAATAAAACAGTTCTTAGAGACCTCTTCTGTGTAGACAAAACACTGGATTTCTACAATGAAGATTCACTTTTTTATCGTTGTAAAATCTGCTCAATAAAGTTTTCTACAAACTCCAACCACAGACCAGGACAACTAATCGCTCACAGATCTGTACAAACTGATTCTAACGTCTTTAAACAACACTTTAATTATTGAATAAATAAGTATTTCCACACATTTGATCACATTATCAATAATAATTACACAAAAAAACAAGATAAAGAAGACTATCTGCCTTGAATATATCTAGTAAATATATTTAAATATATATTATATTTATATTTACATGTCATTTTTACATAAATAAAATATGATGTCATATCTCCACTGATCACCAACAGGTACAGTCCACGTTAAACAGGAACCAGAAGAAAAAAAAAGTTCAGTTCAAGGAACACAAATGTCGACAAACATCCAGACGTTCTCCACAGATGAGCCTCCATCAAATCTATGGAACCAGAAAATGTTCCTCCTGGGACACATCCTCCCCTTACTTTCAACAGATAGATGCTACAGGCTGTGGTTCCACTGGAGTTCTAACAGCATCCTAACACCGGTCCAGAAATCCACACGTGAAGAATCGTTTGTCTTTATCCAAAATCCAAACATCAACATTAACTCTGAGATTAAAACATAAAGACTGGCATCCTTAACCAAGAACTCAGAGAAACAGTCTGGAGACAAGGTTCAAGACTGGATGTACGAAAATGTAAAATTTTCTTATTCACATTTGAGTTTTCACATTCAATGCGTGAGGTTTATTTTACTGTCGTTCTACTACAGATCAGATTCAGTTTAATCCTATGTGGAAAAGCCTACACCTACAGATATCCGATATTAAGTTTTTGCCGATATCCGATATGCTGATATTGTCCGAACACTTAATTTCCGATTCCAATATAGGCCTGGTAATATTTATTTATTTATCTGTACAAACCACTGTACGAGTATGAGATTAATTAAATTAGCTGCAATGCTGCCATCTAGTGATTTTAACATACAGCCGTAGTTTTATACTCAAAAGTATTTTATGGTACCCATGACTTGAGGCATTGCGTTATCAGGTTTTCATTATTGGAAGATAAACCATACCAATTCTTACAGATTACATGATATGCTAATATCGCGATGCTGCTGATTTTCCATAGATTATTAAACTGAATCCAGATTCGGACTCCGCCCCCTCTGGCTCTTTTACAGTTCATACCCTGCAGATCGGCGCCGCTGCTGCTTCCAGATGTCGTCCCTGTGTTCAGGCCGACAGAAGAGTTTGGACGACTGAGCCAAACGTTCACGGTGCTCACGCTCGCGCTCGTTCGCCGATTTAAAGGAGGGTTGGTGGCCCACAAACTGAGAGGAAGAAGAATTTGTCCTGCTGTGGTGGATGATGGAGGAAGAGGAGAGTGGACCGACTGCTGACCTGAGGACAACATACAAACAGCGATGTGTAAACTAGACCACAGCGTGTCCAGAATCTATGGTGCTGCGACTCACCTGCTCTTAGTGATTCTCTGAGGCCCGTTATCAGTCTCCTGCTAACAAGAGAGAGAGAGAGAGAGAGAGAGATTCAAATATAAGAACAAACACAAAGAGAGAATACACTTTAAGCTTATATTGCCAGCAATGACAGAACTGTGAGCGCCCCCTGTTGCCACAGCCAGGTATGTAAGAGATGAAAAACAACAGAAATTCATCATATAATATCCACCTTAAATGTACATGATATTCTGAAAATATTTCTGTGGCATAGCTATATTAACATGGAATTTAGAATTTTTTGGTGACCTGTGGAAGTGTAATTACACTGACTGACCACACGTCACGAGACAGCTGACAACCAGCGATCACTGTGTCTCCACAGGCTAAGATTAACATTTCGGTTGCGGAGGCCTAGCAATATAAAAACTCCAACTTTTAGTCAGAAGAATTGTTTTATTAGGAACCAGTACCTTGTAGCGGTTGGACTGAGTCAGTGGACTTCCATTGACCTGGTAGTACTCCACCAGTCTCTCTGCCAAAGCGATTCGTCTCAGTAGGTTCTCAATGAAGCACTGGATTCGAACTTTTCCATTGGTCTCCTGTCGGGCGGCTGCTTCCAGAAACTTCTGGATGGTGATCACCTCCCTGTGAAGGAAGAGAATCGTCATCTGGATTCGACACTGACTTATTTTCAGGAGCGGAGGCTGCTCTCACCTCTCTCGTCGCTCAAGTTCATTCTCCGAGGCGTTGAGCTGCTCTCTCAGCGCCGCGATCACCATGACGGCCACATCCACCTGCCGACTCAAAGAGCGCTCCCGATCTGCCATTTCCTGTCTCTCCTGGGCAAGGTGCAGTGAATGAGCGCGCTCACACAGGAGCTGCGTGTCAGTCTGGGCCAGTTCTGTGCTCACTCGGGCCAGACGCCGCTGCATGGTGCTGTCCGCTGCACGCAGAATACTGGCCAGCCGCCGTCTCACAGCCACGGAGGCCGCAGCCGTCTCCAGACCAGTGTATGGGTTGTGGTCTGGTGGTGGTGGTGGTGACAGGATTAGATTTGTGACAGCTCAGTATGACAGCATTGACAGACAGAATCTGAATCAACAATGACAACGTACTAATTAGGTCCAGGTCTTGGTCCAGGTCCAGGTCAGGTGGAGGTCCCAGAGGAGCCACAGAGGAGAAGAGGAAGTGACGGTGGCCTGAGTTTGACCTTTTTGTGGATATTTTGATGTGGTCATCATTACTACCTCCATCTCTGTCGTCTTCCTCTTCATCTTCCTCATCGTCTTCATCCTCTGTCCCCTCTTCCTCATCTTCCTCCTCCTCGGCCTGTGTTCCCACTCCAACACTTTGTGTCCGTCTGCGGGCTGAACTATACGAGGGCAGACACTCGCCGTCTCTGCTGTCGCTGAGGGAACGTACATGAGGTGGCCGCCATGAGCTATGCTGCCCCCTACGGGTGGGTAGACTCATGTCATACCAGGGGATCACTGCCATCAGAGGGTCTGGGAGTTTTCCAGTGATACTAAAACCACCTGCATTCATGTCAGGTGAACGGTACGAGTGTCGGAATTCCAGGTGAGCACGAAGTGACGCTAAGCTACAGAACCGCTCCTGATCGCCACAGCGCGGGCAGCGGAATGGGAGGTCACAGGAAGTGACAGCATCTGTAACGGCACCACAGGCCTGCCCAGTCCTCTCTAAGAAGAAAGAACCAGAACCTCTGGAGGACAACTTCTGTTGCATGACTCTACAGCTGAAGGATAGAAAATGTAAGAATGAAAATATAAATCATAAAAGGGGAAATGTTAATATATTAAAAGGCCCATTGTGAAAAAAACTGTCTTATATGAAGTTCAGGTCCATTGTTAAGTGAGACAATGCTTATTCATGTTATTGCTCAGTGTGAAAATGCTAACTCGTCCATAACAAGATACAAGTTACCTCATCCCTACGATTCAAAACGTCAAATGTGACGTCTGTAAAAAAACAACAACAACAGTGAATTCGATTATATAAATATAGTCGATAGAAACACCTGAAAAACAGAACTGAAATAAGTGACGACTTCAAAAGGACTGCGAGTCACTGTGGATGTTAACTCTGCTGCCCTCTGCTGTTGAATCAATGAAACCTCTAAGCGCCTAACCTTTACGTTAAAAAATGAAGGGCATCAAATGTCAGGTGTACTGTCGAGTACTGCCAGGGACTGTGTTTGGTCGTGAGACAATTCTAGATACAAGCAATGCTCATGTTTTTGTAATACATTTATTTGGATTTAATACATTTTTGTGTGTCATAAACTAAAATATTATTATAACATTAATTCATCTTAATATTAAGTTTTAAAACCTTAAAAATACATTTATTGATTATATATATATTATGAATATAAGGTGGCTAATATAGAGGGAAAGCTACCATGAGTAAATAATTTCCCCATAAAATAATTAGTTTAATGAAGTGTATTCAATACAAAGAGACTTAGATATTTGAGTGTAAGAGGATTATTTAAACAAATTATAAATATCTTAATTTGCACAACGATATAATGATTTTCTTCCCACAATGACTGAAGCTTAACCCTAACCCAAAAAAGAGGACAACATTGTCATAATAAGTATAGGCTACACCTTTTTTTTTTTAACATCATTCTAGATGGATATTAAGAGCCCTCCCTGGGCCTGTATTTATTTGAACATGATATAATAATTATTTAATTTTATTATTAAAAAATATGGTCTGAACAATTCATTACAGACACTTTGATGCTTACAGTGATTTATTTTTGGTCGTATCTGATTTTAAGACTAATGAAAAAATTGCAGTTGAAATATTTAAACAAATCATCAGGCTGTACGTATTGCAATGTCTGTGTGTGTTCACAACAGGTCATTAGCAGTGTTAGCACTCAGGGCTTCTTTCTGTGTTAGCCACTGGTAGCGTTAGCTTAGCTGGGCTAATAGATCCCCCCAGAAACTCACCTGCTGCTGAGATTCCACTGCGGAGCAGAAACGACCGCGATCGATCAACTTTATCATCATCATGTTACCCTTCATTGTCATCCTCATAGTCAATTTCTTGTAGCGGACGAAGCAGCAGTCATCCTGTCATACCTTCACACATTCATTTATTCATCCACTCATTCATTCGTTTACCCGTCCAGCAGCACAGTTATCCCGTTAGCCGATCCGCTATTACCTTTCAAAATCAAAGCACGGAATTATATTTTCCGGTTAAAAAAATACAACGATTTTAGTGCTTTTTTTCGTATTGTTTTGTTGTTGTTGTTTTTTGTTTTTTTTTGCTTGAATTTGTTTTTACAAGTCAAGCATTCCTTTTATTGTTTTAGATATGTTTGATTTCCCGTGTTCCTCTGAGTGTTGTAGTACACATTTTGTCTTGGTAATTGTTGTTAGCTATTTCTAAATATTCTGAGTGATATTAATAACTGTATTCCTGCACTGAGGGTTTTATCTCTTTGGACTTACCCTGTGTTTAGTCAAAAGGCAATTTGCAATCATAATGAAATAGGTGTTTAATCAATAAATGGAATCATCTGAACCAGAATGGATTATACTACAACCAGCAGTTCCATCCAGTTGAGGCATATAATAAAAGTCCACTCCCTGTACAGTTTTACTAAATTCCCTCAAATTCTGGCATTTTAGCCATTTTAACAGTTACATACAGACATCAGAAGAAACTTTTAAGATTAATGAGACATCAAGACATATTTTCCAAAGACTCTTGGATTTTCCAAGAACAACACCACAATGTAACGACCTTATATACATTAAGCAGTAACCACCAGGGTGATATTTTTACAATAAAATACACTAACAATTGGCGTTAATTCTCCGTGATGTGAATAACACATTTTTTTTCAGACGTCAAAGAGCGAACAATAACATACACTAACAATTGGCGTTAATTCTCCCTGAGGCTAACATCTCAGTTTCGTGGTCTTCATCAGCGTCGTGCACTGAATTCGGCGGTTGTGGTAAGTGTTTCACTTTCACTTTAAACACATCTAACTTTTGAGGAAGCAGACCTTTGTTGAAGAGCACAAATGTCAGATAGGAGAACAACAAGATGGAACCCATGGCAGACAGCATGGAGATGGTCTTCACTGGAGCGTACTGGACATAAACCCCATCCTCAAGAAGACATCCTGGGAGGTAAAGAACAACTGGCAGACCTACTGATGGGACCCCAAAGAGCAACCTTAGCCCCACTCCCACCACACAACCCATAACAGCTCCATAACCATTGGAAATGCTACAGAAGAGAACACAGACCAGCTGAGGGAAAACAACAATATAGGCCACTTCAGCAGCAATGAATATGAATAAGATGATGCTGTTTGCCTCAGTGGTTAGTGATGTACCAACCAAACCCATCACCAAGACAGTAATACGGATTACCCACTGAATCTCGTTTTGTGATGCCTGTAGAAGAAAGTAGAGAGGAAGAGTTTAATGTTGATATTATGTTTGGAGGTAAAATCTCTAAATTATCCCTTCATCACCTTTGGCCTCAGGATGTTTGTGTAAATGTTACAGGTGAAGAGCGAGGTAGAAGAAATCAAACACGAGTCAGCTGATGACATCACAGCAGCGGCCACGCATCCAATACCGATGATGGAGATGAAGGATGGAGTGAGGTGCTGCAGGGTGAGGGGCAGGACCATCGCAGCTTCACCACTTTCATATGGAGTTGGAGAACCGTAGGAGGTCAGGTTCCAGTCTGAGGAAGAGACCAAGAAAACTGTGGTATATCCATTTGACTCAGAGGATTCTTCTGTAATATAAAAGACTGCCCTCAGAGTTGGACAGACTGTTACTGCCGCTCTGAAATTTCTACAAACTGGTTGAAGATTGTGTCGGGATTTAGATCAAATGAAAACCTCACTGCACCTGTTGATGCTGCAGCTGCGCCAAGAAGTACAGGAGGAATTCCAAACACAATAAAGAGGAAACCAGCAACCACACTGGTGGTCTTGGCCGTTGCTAAGGAAGAAGATGCCAGAGACCTTTGATGGAGACACTGGAATCCCTGAGTCCCCAGTGACTTTGGAGAAACCAAACAGTGAACAAAATCTGACGACACTGAATTTTATGCATTAAACACAGTGGTGATTTATCTTACAAAAAATAAAAAGTCATCAATCAGGAGCCCAGTCTTCTTCAGTTGTGGTGAACCAATCCAAGGAACATGTAAGGTGTTGTTCATCAGTGTTTGACCAATGTCCGAGCAGCTGGGGTTCATCAGAACAAAGGGAACACAGAGCCACTGTGGAGATGAATTGTAAAAAAAAAAAAAATAGTGAGAAACAACAGCATTATTCGGCTTTGTATAAAATGTAAAAGTAGTACAAACTCACCAAACTGATGAATATAAGGACCAGCTGTATGACATCAGTGTAGGCCACAGAGTAGAGACCTCCCATCAGTGTGTAGGTGATGACAACAGCAGCAGAGATCCAGACACACACAGTGTAGGAGATATCCAAAATCACACTCATGGTTCCTCCTGTCAGACACTTGTTGTTAAATAAGTTTCTACAATGTATAATAAGCCGTGTGTGCCTCTGCTGTCGGCGTTTGGTGTTTCTTGGCTGTCACTCACCTAACGCAATCAGTGTGATAGGAACCCACATCAACTCGATAAAAAGAGAGCACAAGGACAGTCCAGCTGTCAGCACTTTCCCATACTTGACCTGGAAAGGGTCCATCATGGTGACACAGTTCAGTTCTCTCAGTGGTTTAGCGAACACCAGACCACCTGGATTTAAAGAAAAATAATACAGCAAATAATACAACAAGAGATTAAGGTAATTCATTTTTAAAATGGCACAAATATTTAAAAAGTAATGCTCGCCAAATCTCAGCAAATCTTCAAGTAGCTCCGAAAAAATACTGGGCTAATGCTACACTGTGCATCCAGAGAGTGGGCCTCATTCTTCTGAAGAGGGCAAACAGACCAGGAAGGTATTTCGTGAATTCTGTTCAACTTACATATCAGAAAAGATGCGCTGTATGCTAAAATCATGACGATAGCCTCGATCAGTCCCATGGAGGGTGTGTAAACCATCTCAGCTGTTCCAACGATCACTCCTCCACCCACCCAGGTAGCTGCAAGAAGAACCAACATGGTTTAGAGACAGAAAATCAAGAAAACAGATAAATGGGTCTGTCAAATGATTCAAAATTAGGGATGCCCGAAAATATCGGCCGTCCGATATTATCAGGCAGATATTAGCATATTATGTCAAATCTGTAAAAATTGTTATCGGTTTTTCCTCCAATAATGAAAACCAGATAACATAATCCCTGGGTTTCACCAAATGACGTGTGTCCTAAGAATGGATTTGGGGATAAAGGTCTCTGGATGGCAGCGTTGCAGCTCATTTAATTAATCACATGCTCGTACAGTGGTTTGTACAGATAAATAAATAAATATCACCAGTCCTATATCTACATCGGTTGATATCGGAATCGGAAATTAAGTGTTTGGACAACATCGGCAGGAGGTATTTACTGTAAACACGTCAGGGCAAATAGTTTATTTTGTTTTTCACTAGAGGTTGACTTGACTAACAGATGAGGTCACGTTGATGTGGATCATGTGACACATGGTTTACTCACTGATTGCCTCAAGAAATCCACATACATTTGATGGGAACTCCTCTGTGTAAAGCATGACTCCAAACTAGAATTTTGGGAAGTCAAATGTCTTTGAATCTTTTGTTTTACAAAAATAGAGCAGATGTTAAAGTGTATTTCACGAAAATGCATCTTTCATGTTATTTAAGCCTCTAACGGTCATTCCAACATAAATTATGTTATATAAAACAACCATCAGTATGCAAAGAAGAATAAAGGAGAAAGTAACACATTCAACTATATGAATTATAACTTTTACCACAGTCTGGATTAGTGAGTTTATGTGGGATTAGATTTAATTATTGTCCTTAATGTTTGAACACTGAAACTCTGTAACTGTTATATTTGTCTAGTCCGGCTCTGTTATGCAGACCTGTTGAAGTTGAAGTATAATTTTTTTATTTTTTTATTTTGTAGATTAAGACCTTAGTTTAGACATTAGTTACAATGAGTCCAACATCTGCTGCATAAATCTAACTGGTACATGACAGCATAATTATAATGTTGCCTTCTCACCTGTCATGGTGAAGATCCCCACCACCCAGCCGATTCTTCGGTTTCCCAGGAGAGCCATCTCCATTTCTCCTGCTGCACTTCTCTTTTGCTCCTTCTTGGATTTAAAAGAAGCCCAGATCCCGGTCCCGAGGACCAGCAGATAAAAAAACAGCATCGCGATCACACCTGGGATGTTCATGTTGAAATGTTCCTTTGGCTTCTACACAAAGGAATACATTACTGTATAAAGGGGTGGACTGACGGCCGAGGAGGTATGGAAGAGTTTTCTCATCAGTTGACACCAGCTGACACAAACATGTTCAACAGAAGTGATAATAAATCAGAACCTTCAGGGCCTCACCAGCCATTGGATATGTCTATGTCAATAAGACTTTGTATAAAATGTGTTTTTATTAAATTACCCTTTGTGCAAATGCTATTTTATTTTAATGTCTTTATTTTTTGACTTTAGAAACATAACAACTTAAAGAAAAAAAAAGCCAAATAAGGAGCAGAAACCCCAAATAACATACAATGTTAAGAACAACAAAACAAACTGTGCCTTTGTCTTAGTGTGTGTTAATGCAGGATTAACAGAAACTTCCTGTTAATCCTGGTCGTTTATGTTGTGTTTTGAATAAGACAAGCACTTTGTGTGTGTTCAACTAGTTATTGTATCATTTAAATAACATTTGTTTACTTCGTCTGTGTATGACTCCAACGACAATAATTGTAATGTAGAACAAAAAGATGAAGAACAAGAAGACCATGACGTGAAAAAGGAAAAAGAAAAAGAATAAGAATAATAAGAAGAAAAACACATTAGTAAGAATGTCGACAATAATTGTACTGCCCTCGCAGTGCGTGTGCTTATGCAGAGCTAGACAGTCAGATAATGTTTAGAATCCTTCAAAAAACCACAAGGCTTGACTTTTCTTGTCTTATAATTGAGTCTTCTATTTTCCAACTGAATCCATTATTCAGGATAAATATTTTCTTGAGGCAAAAGTGTCAAAAAACTCAAACACAAATAATCCAGTAGTCCGTTCATCTTGCATGCAACGGAAAAGACACAGCATAGCTGCAACTAACAAAAAGGGGCACTCAATCTCTTCTCTAGACCAAAGAAGAGACCCCTCACTCTGACACGGTTTTTCACAACCAAAGAATATAGACTTTTTAAACCTGCTCAATGATTAATGTGTGGACTTAACATTTTAACTTTTTAACCCTTAAAGGCAGAACAGTAATGTTAATTCATTCATGTTCAGCTGCATCTGTGTTCATCACAATCTGAGTTCAATCTGCGGAGTCACATTCCTTGAACATTATCTATGTCTTGTCAGAAATAAATCATGTGTCTATAGGTCTGGAAGATCAGATGTCATTGTTGTGATTATCTAACAGTGAGCTGATTGGTCGGTCATCATCCAAAAATAATCAGCGTCCATTCCAGCTGCTCAGCATTAGACGCCTGTATTTTAAACACAGCTTTCAGTTTTACTGGACCAATGACTGCTGGTGACATCTGATGCGTGAGTGGCATGTGAGTTTTACAGCTGCTTTTTACAGTTGTTCTTTTCAATCATGCTGTCAGGCTCATTTGTTAGAAAATCCAAACACAACAGACAAAACCGTTCCAGCTTGCATAAACGTTCTTCTGTTGGACTCCTCGAGGATTTGATAATCAGATAAAACCTAAACTCTAATAAATACTCAACAAAGACAAGATACATTGGATGATACAGTATATTTAAATTGATGAGCTGATCAATTCAAAGTCATTAAAATTTCAATATTTTATATTATATTTGTCCCACAGTGGGAAAATTGCACTGATCGTATTTGTTTTGCTTTGTTCAATGACAAGAACAGTTTTGAAGCAAGAGCTGTGAGAGTGTGGACATGGAGGGGGTCGAGGTATTTCCAAAGGGGGGCGCTGCAGAAAAGGTTTTGAAACCATTGCCTTACAGTAATAAGATCAAAGACTCTGGATATGGGATTCGGAAAAAAAAAATAGTGCCAGTTGCTATAGTTCCAGAAGTATGAGGCTGAGGAGTTTCCAATAAGACCTGGTTCAACGTCGCTCTGGGTACCACTGTATGGAGATCTAGACTTAAAGAAGGAGTGGAATTCTAATCATCTGTAGTTCATTCTAATCTTATCTAATGCAGTGTCATTAAGTAGTGCTGATTAAACATTGGGTTTTGCAAATTAAACCGAGAAACAAATGGTTAATGAGCATTGGTGGAGTGTGGAGTGAAAAGCTCAAAACGTGTTGATCAAACAGCTGCTGCAGAAAAGACCAGTTCTAATCTGACAGAGACGGAGTCAGTGGAAGGAAAACTGTGACACAACAGCAACAAAGCAACTGATTCGACACAGACTGTTCTCCTATTTCTATTAGTATGTATGTGGAAAAGCCACTCTTGTGACTCACCTGTAATACCTCCTATAGAAACAAGAATTAATTATTATTATTATTAACTGCAACTGGATTTTCCTTCAGCTTTAATTCCTTGAATTCCTAAATGTTTTTTTTTTCTTTAAAACCAGTGGCAGCAGCTGGTGCAGATTTAAACTCAGTGATTGTCCAGGAATTAGTTCACAGACAGAGATCTAAGGATTTGATCTTGAATTAACTTACAGCTGCAGCTGTTAGAGACATTGGAGGTCAAGGCTGCAGGACCATGGATAATCCATGTCATTATCAAACTGAGAACAAACCAACCTGAGTTTTAAGTCTTGGATGTCAGCATTTCAAATGCACGGGCAACTGTGCTGGTGTAAATTCAACAACTGACTTATTGATCTGTTATTTGCTTTTAATGTATAGGCTGCAACAATAGTTGAGATAAGTTCAAATTGTCACATGTCAGTGCATATACTGATGTCTTGGAATTTTAATGCGCATGAAGCTTGAGAACTGAGACTTTTGAAAAGATGGTTAGAAGGGAAAGCATTAGGTGAAGAAAAACCACCTGATATATTATAAATACTAAATATATATATAAATATTTTTTCATTTATTTTCAAAATTTTTACATCTTAATCACAAAATGTCTGAAGGTTACACTCGACAAATCTTAAGTCACTATGATTATGACTTTCGGGAGTTCGTTTGAGAACCAACGCCCCTTGAAATTTGTCACATGTCACATTGGTGTTTGTCTGACACTGTCATGTCAGCGTTCTGTTCAAGGCCCGATGACTTCTGTTGTGCTCTCCTCAGGTGAGCTTTAGTCTGCATGTGAGCCTTGAGAAATGTGAGCAGACGGAATTGTTTCCCACAGATGCGGCAGCTGTGCGGCATCTCACCGCTGTGGATGCTGCGGTGTCTCATGAAGCTGGTGGCCAGGGTGAAGGTCTTAGTACAGAGCGTGCATGTGTAAGGCTTCTGGCTGGTGTGTGTGAACTGGTGGTCGCGCAGCATCTCCTTCAGACGGAAACTCTTCCCACATATAACACAAGGGAACGGTTTCTCTCCTGTGTGGCTGCGCTGGTGAACTCTGAGCTGCGAATGATTAGCGAACTTCTTCCCACAGTCGTTGCAGACCACGACAGTAGATGCATCAGGCAGCTCATGGGGGTGTTTACTGATGACGTGGTTCTTCAGACACCGGTAGCTCTTACCACAGACTGCACAGAGCTGCCGCTCACCTGTGTGGATGGCCTCGTGGCTGCGCAGGTTGGAGGCCTGTGTACATCCCTTCCCACATGTGGCACACTTGTAGGGCTGCACCTTTTGGTGTACCAGTTTGTGGCGTGTCAGGTGGCAGGCATGGTAGAAGCACTTCCCACATATGTCGCAGATGAAGGTCTTATCAAAATGAGTGACCCTGTGAGTCTTCATCAGGCTGACACAGGCGTAGCCTTTCCCACAGATGTCACAGTGGCAGCTCTTTTCACCGGTGTGTCGCGCCCTAACGTGCAGGTCGTGATGAGCCTTGTGATTGAATCGTTTGCCGCAGAAGTCGCAGGTGTACGGCAGCAGCCTGTGCTCTTTTATCTCGTGGTCACGAAGCCTCAGCGTGCCAGTAAATATTTCACCACACACTGAACATTCTGGGTGCGACTTCTTTTGGTGGTGGCTGAGACGCTCGGCATTTGGAAACAACATTTTGCACCTGGAACAATGAACTGTTTGCACGATCGCGTCACTCTTCTTGCAGCCGTTGCGGTGTTTTTTTTCTCTTGTCTGTGTGCTCTGATGAGGCAGTATTACTGATTCTTACGTCTGTGTGCTCTGATGAGGCAGTATTAGGCAAAGATGAGTGTGGCTGAGCATACTCATGGTCATTGACCTTAGCTTCAGGTGTGGAGATATGAACATTTGTGACATCAGGCATTTTCTCAGAACAACTGACTGTAGTTTGATCTGTAAACCAACACACACACACAAAAAAGTTCAGTAACATCTTCCCGTAGATCACACATGTCAAACTCAAGGCCCGGGGGCCAAATGCGGCTTGCGGGAGCTTAAAAAGCATTTAGTAAAATCTCTCTAAAATATTCTATTCTGTTTGTATCAGTCTGAATGACCTTTTATTCTAAAATTGTCAAATTATTGTGTCCTACTGCAGACTGGTACCAAATGACCTATGGACTGGTACTGGTCCGCGGACTGGAGGTTGGGGACCCTTGTTCTATACAATCTTCCAGTTACAACCAGCCCTTCAAGGCGAACTGTATTCTTGATGTGGCCCGCGGTGAAAATTAGGTTAACACCCCTGTCATAGATGATTAATGATAATAAAACAGAATAAACGTTCAAATTTCAACTGTGGGTAGAGCTGTGGGAACTCACCACTGCTGTGGGCCAAACTCTGCACAGAGACAACCACATGACGACGATTGCTGTCATCTTTCTGGAACGAAAAACAATTAAAAAATGAGTTTGTACCTAACTATTAGCCTGTTTAATGCTGCTGAGAATTTCTTTCCTGACCTCAGAAACGAGGATGTAGGTGTGATCAGAGGAGACGGGGTCACGTCCACCATCCCCCCCTGTAAAACAAAAATGAAACTTTAAAAAAAATAAAGGACACGTCTTTGCTGAGAGTCATTGAAGCTCAAAATTTCCCAAACACCTTCAGACGTCTGCGGCACTATCACGGTGTCACTATTCTGCTCTGTGATGTCATACAGATGAGGAGTCCCATGAACCAACTGCAGGATTTTATCCACAGCTTCAGCACAGAGGTTGTCCACCAGAGACACCAATCTGTCCTGATAAAAGAGAAACAGAAGACGGGTGTTAACATATGTATTATATTATTATATAGATATTTCTAAAAACCTTAGCACTGAGGGCCCAATCGGTGCCTGTATAGAGCAAACATTGTCGTAACTGTTGTAACTCAAATTTTAAAAAAATTAAAAACTATATACATTTCACCATTGTCGTAACTGTTGTAACTCAAAAAAAATTAAAAACTATATACATTTCAGATTAAGATTTTATGTTAATTAAGGAGTTATAAGTATGTTTAAGTTTACTTTGCAGCAAAGATAATTAAAGTAGAATACGACTAATTGTATTTGTTTTTATATTTTATTTGCAATAACCAAGTAATAAACTAACTAACTTTGTGGGAGTATAAATCAGCAGTGTCCGTTATTCCCGAAGGCTTAGCGGACACTGCTGCTGCTGATATATACTCACACTAAGTTAGTTCAAGTGTATGTAAACACTTGAACTTGAGCTAGTTCACAACAGTAGCAATTACATTATTTTGCTCACCTCCAGATCGGTGTTATTTTGTCTGCCCAGTGTACTAAAAATTTCCGCCTTCACCGCATTAGCCAAATGACCTACGATCAACGTCACGCGTTGTTCGAATGTCATTAATTCATCTATTCTAAACATTTACAACAGAAGTTAGACCGTTAGCTTAGCAACCGGAAGACACACATACAGGAAGTGACGTTTTTGTCATCTCCATCACGCAAAAGCTTTGCTAAAAAAAATAATTTCCAAGATTTATAAAGGTACAATTTCTTCTTTTTTTCGGAACATCAAAAAATATGTGTTCTAAAACTCGGTAGTTTCCTTGAACGATGTTTTAGGTGACTCAGTGTGAGTCATTTTAAAAATGTCAGCGATATATTTTACACATTGATACTGATTAATAACTTAAACACTGGAAATAGGGTAAGTGTTTAATCTGAAATCATTTAATCTGAAATGTAATCAGTGTGAGTGAACACGACATACAAACAAAAAGTTTGGTTTTCAAAAATATTTTCTTTATTCTTTGACTCTAAGTTGCCGCTGTACACACAGTCTATGATGATGATAATAATAATTACAATAGAAATCCTCATCATAATAATAACAATAAAAATGTTCAATATATTACATTTATGTGTCATTATATCAGTTCAACTATCAATTCTTCACATTAACATAGCATTTAACATTAATTTCTCAGCAGAAACAAATAAATATAAAACAGACATCTAGGACAAAATATTAAAAGAAAAACAATATATATATATATATTAATTTACAGTCTTTAAAACAACCTTGTGTCAATGGCAGTAGGAGTTCAAGGTTAGCTGTTAGTGTGTCTTCATGATCAACAGAAGTTTTATGAATTTTCAAAAAAGCCATTAAAAAATAAAAGATATTTTTTCCATATTATTCTTCACTGGTGTGATCCTACCTGTAGGAAAATAGCTGATAAAGCAGGACAGGAATGATTGTGATTATGTTTGTGACATCAATGTCAATGAACATTTCGTTCAATGACATTGAATATCTTGCAAGTTCTTGATTCAAAAGAAGAAAGCTTGTCCATTTTCTACATCACTAAACAGAAGCAACTGAAGCTGGCCTTCAGCTGTGTTCGTCTGATTCACTGCTGCTCTGTTGCTGGGCTGCAGACACATGCCTCGCTGACGCTCCTTGCTGCTGTGGTTGTTGTTTGGAGGAGCTGGACAGATCAATGGCCACTTCCTCCTCTTGCTCTTGATCCAAAAGTTTTTCTTCATGCCCCACTTTCCTGGCCTCGATTCTATCACTGCCCCCTTGCCCCATGGTGTCACAGTAGGAGTCGGAGTGGGCAGAGTCTGATTCCAGAGGGCTGGGACAGGTTTTTGTTATTTCTAAAGACTTTTTGTGCATTCCTGTAAAACAGAGACAGACACAGACATTTAGTCAAGGCTTTTTTTTTTACCCTCAATTCAAATAGATAATAGTTGACAGCATATCGTTAATTAACTCATCTAAGTGAATCAGTCATCAAACAGTTAAAATATAATACCAACAGATAAATCCATAGAAATAAATATTGATTTTACAGAAGTTGCTTTTCAACAGGGACCTAACAAAAGTCAGTCTTAAAAATATGTTTTTATTGCAATTATTGCCTTTTACCGTGTGGCTACTTTTTATTTAACTTTATTATTAATATGTGTTTGTGTATGCGTTTATGTGTGGTTCACGGTATGTTAGATTTTGTGAGTGCATGTGTGGTGCATGTGTGCAGCACTGACGTGCAGTGTGCTCACCGAGCAGCCAGGGGGCGCACGATCCCATCATGCCGTTCTTGGCAGAGTTGAGGATTGACTCTGGTAGAGGGATGGAGTGTCTCACCATCGCCCCGTAGAGCCCATACTCCGCCATTACACTGCTGCGACCCCAACACTTCTCCCGCTTCCGCCACTTAGCCCGGCGGTTCTGGAACCACACCTTAAAAACAAACAAAAAATAAATACTTCGTGTTCTCGGGAACAAAGCTTAGATTAAGTTATCAGAGCTGGATTACAGGTACAAAAAGTGCGTTTTACACCGAAATTATATACTTATTATTAACACGTATGGATTAACTAAAATGGTTTCGCATACTTTTATAATATAAATCCACATAAATGTATTTTGTTCCTTGTCAACCTGTCGTCATTTACAGTGAATTCGGTTTAAATTATATTTATTTGAATTTTGTAAAAAAAAAGAATCGAATTTTTGAGTTTGAGAATGTCTTCGGTTCCCGTTTAAATATATAAAACTTAAACTTATAATGCCAGTGAATCGTTGGGAGTGTTCATAATAGTAGTAGTCTGGGGAGTGTACGTAGTAAAAGCTGTAGTAGTAGTAGTAGTAGTATTTTAATCATCGACAGAAAAAAGGATGAACTGAGCTCCACTGCTCTGTTGATTGTTCACAGTTGTGATTAGAGTCGATGACTGGTTGTTGGTGATGCCTCACCTGGATCCTGTCCTCCGGCAGCTCGGTCTTCATGGCCAACATCTCTCTGGCGTAAACGTCAGGATAATGAGCTTCATGAAAAGCTTTCTCCAGCTCCTCCAGCTGCTGAGACGTGAACACCGTCCTGCACACGCGCACATGCACACAACCGGAGAGAATTCAGTGTTTTGGTTAAAAAAAATGTTACTTTTTTTTTTTTTTTTTTTTTTTATTTTTTTTGGTTTTTGTTCGGTTTTTTTTTTCTTCCTTCCCTCTCACAT